TTCGTTTACAATGGTTTTCATTGTGATTAATATTGAGAAGAATTAAATAATGAAAACGATTGTGAGCAACGAAATTTAGACGATAAATCAAGTTGTTTCAACAAGGGAATCATGATTAGGCTGAATGATAATAATTTTCAATACCCGGGAATAAAGTGAAATACAGTAATTTGTATGGTCATCAACACCACAATTACGATCAACAACTCGATAGCCACTACCATAGGTGTTGACACATTGACACCGACGATTTTAGAGAGGGAGCTGCAAGAGTCTCGGTAAAAGTCGTTTGTAACTGGTCTAAGTGTGAAGAATTAAAAAAAGTGTTTGATCCCACTTGTATTTAATTTGTTAACGGAGGGGCCCTTCTGGTGTGGACTAAAGCAAGGGGTAGAATTGGGTATAGCGTCCTTAGATTTCCCTTCTTGATCAACCACTAAAAAGACACGACCTCATAAAATAGAACAAATGTTTCAATCTGCTCTCAATCGCAATGGACATCACTCGTTCGCTTAGAACTGCGATGCAAATGTTTTTTACAGTATTTATGAGGCGCCCTGTGTTTAAATTCAATGCTTCTTTCGACCAGTTTATTTAAAATTGGACTGTATAATAATTAAAGAAAACTATCAAATATAACACGTTCTCGTTGACCACTTACTGTGTAAAATCATTTATTAAAATATTTGGTTCTACTTATTTGAAACAATGAAATATTTTGCGAAAGGTCATGGTATTTACATTGTTGTCGAAAGCAAATATGGACAATAGAATTTCAACGGAGACGAAAATGTGTTGAAGCGCAGTTTGTTGAATTTTCTCAGCCAAAACTAAAACTTCGACAACTCTTCTCGTTACAAAATTGGCATTCAACACTCTTGAAGTTCGTAAAAAATGGTAACTATGAACAATTTACGCATAACTTGAGTTATCAGTCGATTTAAATTGATTTAATGACAATGAACGTTCATGTCTGCTTCACTCTCTCTTCGCCCCGTCTCCCCGTTATCAAGTGTTCAATTGGTTTTGCCAACCAGTAGCCACTTTGTGACCTTATCGACATTTGAAATTGTGAATACAAATGAACTGTAAAGCAGCTACTGAAATTTGCATTGATGTAAGCACCAAACAAAAATAACTATTCACAGCAACAACGAAAATATTGAGCGAATGACCAAAAGTTGAAGTTTAGTTCGGTATAGTGTACCGTATAGTCAATATGATGCTGGGGTGTACATGAAAAATAACAAAACATGAAAAAAAACGGAAAACAAATAGCAAACACAAAGAGTCACAAGCCAACAACAACGACAACGGCATCAACATCAGACTATTTGCTTCATCTCTCAACAAGTGCGACTTTTCCCCCAAGATGTTTTTGGACACGCTTTCTTTCTCTTACTCGCCGAACTGAGCGACAAAACATAAAGTGCTACCAAACCCAGGGACGAAAGAGAATAAAAAAAAAAAAAAAATAAAATAAAACTACAATGCATTGGAGCACCCAGTATCACGAGTGAAGGAGCTAAGAGAAAACATGCACAGTAACTAACACAATAATAACGCATATGAAGAAGGCAAATATGACTAAAAAAACGAAAAGAAAAATAAAGAGCACACAATGATGAAAAAAAACCGAACGTATCGAAAAAGTCAGAATAGAAGAAAAAATTGCATAACATAAAAGCAATAAAAATAACCCGACACAACAATCCATGCATCCACTTTGCACACAGAAAGATTGAGAAAGAGTATATATATATATGTGTGTGTGTGTATCTGCTAGGGATCCAGCTCACTCTAGACCTCTTCTCTCTCTTTCCGTCTTCTTTGCGAGGAAGAATTGAAAACAAGAAAAACGTCGCAGACCAAATGAATAAAATGTATTATGGGGACATTCATAAACCGGGCATATGTATACAGAGGGCGAAAAGTGCATACAGCCAGCGTGCTCACTGGTTACACTCACACATATACTAATACAAATCAACGATAACAATGAGACTTTTGGTGGTGATGAGTTATGTAGACGACAATATGTCGCTTTCCGTGAATTGCATTTATGTGGCTCATAAAAGTTTATGTTGAACATTTTCCTATCTGACAATTTTTTTTTTTATATAGTTTCAACTTTCCAAAGACACTGTGGAGCAGTGTGCGCTGACCCAACCACTTTGATTTTCGTACGTTTTCATCCGAAACAAGATTTTGATAATTTTTTTTTATTCGTGTAATAAACGTGTACATCATACGTCTTAGGAATGAAAGAAGACTTTTAATCAAATTTTCTATTCAACCGTGTTCCACCTGGATTGATTGGCTGTCGGAAAAATGCATTACTCCAACTCAGTATTCATTCACACTAAACAATGGAAAATCCTTCAAAATAAATAAACAGACAATGTTTACGGCAATTTTACGGTGCCGTCGGGATTGATTATCAATGCCTTTTGATAAATGACTGTTGAATAATGATTTCGGGCTCCACAAAGATAAAATCGGATTGACTTGGCACAAAGATCATCGAAGATCATTGGAAATAGTGAAAAAAGTGCTCACAAATTGTTTTCTATATGAAACGAGAGACGGAAATGTTCGAATAACTTTTGACTTTTTCTAATTATTTTGGTTGAAATGTAATTTTTTTGTTTGCCATTGGCATATGCAATTCAAGCATATGTATCGTTTGTAATGAGTGCGCCTTTTCACTTCGTTTATCCATTTCGTTCATTTAACGATATTATGTGGAGTTGTTGGGTTATTTGTTGTTGCCATTGCATTTGTGTTCTTCGATGTTCGTTTTTTTTTCTTCCTTGGTGCGGTGCTCGCCGTTCATTTTGATTTGTAAATTTAGTTGTGTATTTATTTTTGACTTTGGGAAGTTGCAATTTGTGTTTATTTTGCTTTTGTTTGAATTTGTTGCTCGATCGCGTTTTATGTATAGTGTTCCCCTCCAATCTGACAAGTTGCATTTGACTGTTCAAGTACAACTAATACAAACGCTTTATTGTTTGGATTTTGTAACGTCGCTTCCTCGTCGTCTTCTTCCTCTTTTTTTCTTCTTTTTTTTATATTTTTTATTTTTATTTTTGTACAAACTTTAACTAATTGTTAGTTCTATGTTCAGTATCCTATGCGCTTCTTTTTGCCGCTCGAAAAACGAAACGGCTGTTTCTTCTGGTTGTCGTTGGTGTGTTTTTTTTTCGTATTTTATTTTAAATTCGCGATTCCTTTGTGTGCAACTCACCCATGTTTTGTGCATATTTGAAATTCACTCATAATCACATTCAGTTGCAAATGCACACGCCAGAAATGAAGGCAAAAGAGATAGATTTTCGTATATATACAGGAATAAAGAATCGTACACTCTCTTTCTCTCATTTGCTCGAACCGTTGGTTCAATTTCACTCTACATAAATATAACGTATATGTAAATGATAATAGTATCTTGTATTAAAGTTTGTCTTTTTAATTTTGTTTATGGGAAGGCATTGTTCGAATTTTGGCTGGTGTTTTTCGTCTCTTTTTTCTGTTCCTCATTTAGCCAATCTAAAACATGGATTTAGTTCATATCGAAGTCGGGGCAGAATGAATGAGTGAATGAGAAAAAAAAACTTTCGTCGACTTTCGAATGAGAAATTAGCGCGAACATAGGAAAAAAACGAGATTTCATCGAAATAAGGAAAATCTGAATAAATGAATTTACGGAATTACAAAAGGAGTCATCGCTGAACGGAAAAAATGCAACTTTTTTTTATTCTGGAGGGGAAGAGATCACGCACATTTACCATCGACGACAACGATGGAAATAAAAAAAAAGAAGAAAAGATGAAAAAATGAACCGACTACTACGTTTTTCATTGTTATTTATTTTGATAGTATCTTATTTTGAACAGTGCACGAAGCACTTGCTATAGACAAGGGAGAAAGAGAGCACACTCTGAACCAAACCAAAAAAATCTGTTTGTAATTGCAATTTATTTATCTTTCTTATAAGTTCTACATCTCTCTCTCTCTCTCTCTCTCTCTCTCTCTCTCTCTCTCTCTCT